AAGAGGTAGCAAGGCCTCCTAAAGCTTCGACAAGTGCTTGGCTCGGTGGTCCTTGTCGTAGTGCACCTCAAAAAGGGGGTATTGTGGATGATGATCCCCCATCCTGGTTCAAATTTGAAATGGATGTGTTAGAACAAATAGTAAGATTAATACAATATCATGGAACATTAGTGCATAAAACAAAGTAAATGTAAAAGGAACATTAATAAAGTATTATGCAAAATGAGAGAATAAATGAATATCATAATTGGTACTAACATAGCAAATTTAAATAGCATAGCAAACAATAACATTAATAGAATATAATGTGTGCTATATGCACCTGCTGCCCTTGTCTTCTATGCCTGCTAGCCTTGTGACCCGATTCTTTGCAAACGGAGCAAAGATTCCTACCACGGGTCTTGTTCAAATCTCCCCCCCCATACTTGTCTTCATGTATCCTCTCATAGTGTCCATGTCCCCCTTGAGTCACTTCTTCTTCCTCCTACCCTTCCCTACCTTCGTTAGGTCCGGATGCGGCACGTTGTCATAACAATGATAAGGGGGCCACTATGTCGGGTCAAGGTACGGCTCAAAGCTCCTCTCCCAAATACTAACGGTGTTCGAACGGAGATACAAGGGTGACATATATGGCAGACCCTCAAAGTCATCCGCGGACCCTGCAAGCCATGATCATGTGAGAGCAAGGGGCATGCATGATCTGAGGGACGTTGCAACTGCACTCTACTTTATCAAAATCAACTCGGTAATTTCGTCCACCATAACGTTCACCGCCCAAGCTTGTGCCACCCTTCCCCCGTACACTAAAGACATGTCAGCGAGGTCCATACGGCTCGGCAATATGTTGCTTGGCCAATTCCTCGGCCTCCTTCAAATGTTTTGTTCCGGTCTTTTCAAATCACCCAAGCTCAACTATATTCCTCTGCGCAAGTTCTCACCTCTTGACAAAATATTTATTGCACTTGTGAAAGGAGAACTCAACAATTCTAGACACAAGCGATGATCGAACTCCAGTGAATACAATGTTGAAAGACTCTGATGAGTTGGTGGACATGATGCCGTACCTGAAACTGCCATCATCATATGCTAACGCCCACTTAGCCTTCTATTCCATCTGTGCCTCTAACCAGGTCTTACCCGCTTTATTTAGCATCTTATCTAGTTCTCTCTTTATCTCCTTGAACTGGTGCTCTGTACGTACACAACATAGAGCCTTTACTTAGTCATAAACCTCCTTCTTCCTCTGACGCCGCCAGAAATTAGCGGCAAAATGGCGCATGCACCATCTACGGACTAGAGGTGGAAACGCATCGATATGTTTATCTGCAGCATTAAGAAGCCCTGCGTGATGGTCTGAGATGGGCCAAGCACTTGTACACGTAGATGCCACATGAACCATGACCATGATTCATTTTTCTCTCCCTCTGCCAAAGCAAAAGCCATAGGTACTATCTGGTCCTCTGGATCAACAGCAGCAACCATCATCAAGGTGCCCCTGTACTTTCTGGTAAGGAAAGTGCCATCAACAAGTATGACTGGCCGACAATACTAGAATGCATGTTCCGTCTACGCGAATGACCAGAACACACGATGCAGGACATGCCTCAACGGGTTCTCCAAATACATCCCTCCAGTGTCTATAAATCATTTCAAGCTAGGGTTGTAGTAATGCATTGCACATAATATTCGGGGAACCCTGTTGTACGCTTCCTCCCAGCTACCCCAATGAAATATCATTATTGTCATCAACGAGCCCCAATATACGACGAACAAGGTAACGTGCAGTGAGATGCTGATGATTTTCCTTCCCCTTATTTGATAGGCAAGTGTGGGGTTGGACCACTTTACTTATCCTCCACTTGCCATCACTCTGTCTCTTTTGTGCATTTAACCTCAACATACAACCATTTTTGCATATCTCATTGTACCTCAACTCCTGGTCTGAATGAGTGATGGTGTATGGCCTATGGTGATAGACAACATAGTCCTGAAGAAATAGCTTCATCTTTGGCATTGTATTGAATATCATCCCCTTGCTAAGGATTTCATACTCATGGTCATACACTGATTTCCTACACATCTGTAGACCGGTGTCACAAACTGCCATATCCGTCATGCTGACATCCCTATAGTTCAGAACACCACTGAAAGGTACGTTCATCGACCTCAATTGCATAAGCTCTGTCACTGTGTAAGGTGGTGGTGGAATGTACTGCTGTGCTTCGCTAATTCTAGCCCATGAATCATAGGGGGTATCATCCTCTGGAAAATCTATGACTAGTCTACCCTAAACTGGCAGAGCATGAAGTACCTTAGTTGGTACTAGTAATGGCATAGCATGAACCGGTACTGGCATGGCATCAACCGATGTTGGCATAGCATCTCTACCTCCTTGGTTATCATCTGAATTGTCTGAATCACTGCTAACTACATCATCGATCCTGACCTCCTCATCCTCTTCCCGTTCGAACTCGTTCACATCAAAGTTATTACTTATACAACCTACTGGAGTTGAATGAAGCTGCTCCGGCATCAACACACTGTCCAAATCCATAGTACCCATAGTTGGTTCCACATGGACCCCACATTCTTGTTGAGTATCACCGTCGAAGCACGACCCCTCCTGGAGACCCTGCATCCTGTACCCATTCTCCACCACCACCTTAGCCATGACCACATTGGAACCTTGGATTACCCTATTGTAGCGGGACCAGTGAGCATGGTCGTGCAAGGGCATCAGCACGTAGTGTGCCCTAGTCTTTCCACTATCAAATCCTCCCCTTCAGTGTGAAATCACCGCTAAACTTTCCCTTTAAATGGACACAAAGATCGTTGAAGCTAGGAGGTTCATCAAACCATTCTAATTCTTCTTCTATATCCTCAAATATACCATCTTCTCTTCTAACACTTCCTCCATAAAAACTCTGACACAACAATCCATCTATAAAAGCATTTTAAGAAACTTCATCAAGCCATCGAAATCGTCGTGCCTACTAACTAATCTAGTATTCATACCTATACAAACTAAGAAAACTAACTAATCTAATATTAATACCTATAACAACAATTCTAACTAACTATACTAAATACACTAACTAAACTAATATTAGTACCTATACTAACTATACTAACTAACTGCATTAACCCAACTATGCTAACTAACTTCACTAACTATACCTATCTAGCTAACTTTACTTACTAACTTCATTGACTAATTTTGAATCCTAACCCTAGCTAACAACAATTCTATTGAAGCAACAAATGCACAAGAGGATTACCTCGACAAACCACATCGGGATCCCACTCCCTCGCCACTATTGTCCACTTGGGAACGACAAGGTGTGGCTCAAAGTTGAGTTGGAGGGCTATTTTACGACACATTGGAGAAAAAAATGCAAATAATGGTGAGGAGTTGTTGGACTTAGAATTTTCACCTTTGCTCCAAAACCAATTTTAGGGAACAATTTTACCAAATCTTTGAGATGCTCTCAACACATCATGAGCTTCTTCCAATGAATAGGGGTAAATTTTGCGTGCATGCGTTTATGGGTCAGTGTGTATGCGTGCTTGGCCACTAGTTCTCAAAAGCAAATAGAAACCATACGAAGAGAAACGGGCTGCGTGGTTCAGGCTGTAGCTTTCCTAATAGTGAGCCAATTTACGGCGGGCCTAGCCCCTAGCATAATTGGGCCAATGGGCCGTCACCCACAGCAGATTTAGCGTCCAGCCCGTTCTAGTAGCCCTTCTAGAACTCTCTCCCTTCCGGTTCCTTCCACTCCACCGCTGCAGCTCGACACGGCCACACGGGGTTTTCCCTTCCCCACCTGGCCACCTCTCCCCGCCCCGCCCCGTCTCGACGCGTCGCCTCCCCTCTCCCAATCGGAGCCTCGCTCGCATCCGCCATTCCCAGACCTCGAGAGCTACCGTCTGGTCCGGTCCGATCCGACAGATCCCTTCGCACGCCGCGCGTCCCCCGCGATTTTCAGGTCTGGTGCGTTGATTTCCCCCGGCCCCGCCTATGCGATTTGCGCTTTCTGATTTCGGTCTGGGGTTTCGGTTTCGGCTGCTTGTTCGTGCAAGTCTCAGTGATCTGCGCAACGTTTTTTAAGTAAGGCATCATCCGTTTCGAGTCCGGTGTAGGATCCATTTTGATTTTGTTTTCCGGATAGGAGAACTAATTGTGTACGGCTAGTGCTGTCCTGTGGGAAGAAGAGGTTGATCATGATACTCCTACTTCCTTGTCGTCTGATGCCTGAGGCACATGCTGTGATTTGCTATGATGTCTCGGTGACTACACTGCTGGTAGTAGACTAGTAGTACATGTCGGAAGAATTACTTTATTTATGCTTGGTCCCTTAGGGTGTCCGACGACGGTGTTGAATGCGTGGGAAATTATGTGTCTCATTTCTGCATTTCACCTGCACTAGATTGACGAGGGAGGAATAGTTTCACCTGTTCAGCTTAGCTGGTGTATTGGTATTTTGGTGGTGGGGAAGAAAGCCTATGTAATTGATCATTAAACATTGATGAACGGTAGTACCAAATTTACTGTATAGACAATGCAAATTACGTTGGGCAGGGGGCCATGGCCCAGCTTGCTCTTAATTAAGCTCCGCCTCTGGTAGTAGGTCTGCTTCCTCGAAATGGATAATGTCACACTTAGGCTTTCTTTCATCACTGGTTTACTGCAGATATGGTATTGTAGAGTTAATGGCATTGCTGTCAATTAGTTTTGGGCGCCATGTTTCATCATCTAATTTATGAGGACAAAGAGTATCTGGACTCCAGTTGATTTTGTGATGTTGCAGTTTCAGTTATTACATTATGGTTTGCTGTTTATTTACCTACGGACCATGCTGCCACTTGTCCATGTGAATTGATGATTTTTGAACTGGAGCTCAGGCTGGAGTTATGTGACTGTATATTACTATCTACAAGACACACAATCATTTAATACATTTTGCCTGTATTTTCAACCAGGTAAGGTGTTGTAACAGAAGATGCAAGGGGGAAGAGGTGGAAGGCAGGGCTTGTTCGGTTTCGGGGACCCTTTTGTTGGTTTCGGCAGCTTTGGACAGCCAGGGAGCCTTGTGCCCAGTTTCTTTGGTGGCGCAAATCCCTTTGACGACCCTTTCTTCACAAACCCCTTTGGTAGCATGATGCAACCTAGTTTCCCAACCCCTTTCAGCGGCATGATGCAACCTAGCTTCATGAACCCCTTTGGTAGCATGATGCAACCTAGCTTGCTTGGACCAAGTATGTTTGCGCCCCATGGCGATCTCAATGGAGGCATGTTTGGAAGCCAGACACATCTCAGTCAAGGCATGAGCAATGCCAGTGGTTTCATTCAGCAGGCCCCTGAACCAAGCAGGCCTAAAGGGCCAATTATCAAGGAGTTGTCTTCAGATGACGAGGATGGTGCAGACTATGATAAAGAAGATGAGAAGAAGAATGGTAACTTTAGGAAGCATCCAAGGGAAAGCAAAGAGCCGTATGTGGAGGACCCGGATGAAGAAGTAGAAGGTCAGTTCATTTACCTTCTTGGGCATGTTACTGTTCACTGTTCAAATTTGCATTAAGTAATCATTTGAATTTACATTGCCTGATCCTGTCTTGTGCCTTATACCACATTTCTGTCCTTTTGTAACTGAGGGACTGAAATATTTTCTGGCAATTCTTGGGGACATTCAGTAAATAAACATTTTTTGGATTCAGCAAATATACATGGACCTCATACAATGTAAATAACTAATCAACTTCATCGATCATCAGAAAACCTATTCTACCACATAGTTTCAATATGATCTCATCTCATCTCATGGTATTGCTAGGCAGCCTACTCAATTGATATTCAGCCTTTTAGGTGACCTGTTATCGTTGAATTGCTATTTTTATTCTGTTTAGCGGAGTATCAACAACAACAACAACAAAGCCTTTAAGTCCCAAACAAGTTGGGGTAGGCTAGAGTTGAAACCCAGCAGAACAATCAAGGTTTAGGCACGTGAATAGCTGTTTTCCAAGCACTCCTATCTAAGGCTAAGTCTTTGGGTATATTCCATCCTTTCAAGTCTCCTTTTTAGCCTATACCTAAGTCAACTTTGGTCTTCCTCTGTCTCTCTTCACGTTACTATCCTGGCTTAGGATTCCACTACGCACCGGTGCCTCTGGAGGTCTCCGTTGGACATGTCCAAACCATCTCAACCGGTGTTGGACAAGCTTTTCTTCAATTGGTGCTACCCCTAATCTATCACGTATATCATCGTTCCGAACTCGATCCCTTCTTGTATGATCGCAAATCCAACGTAACATACGCATTTCCGCGACACTTATCTGTTGAACATGTCGTTTTTTCGTAGGCCAACATTCTGCACTATACAACATAGCAAGTCTAATCGCCGTCCTATAAAACTTGCCTTTTAGCTTCTGTGGTATCCTTTTGTCACATAGGACATCAGATGCTTGGCGCCACTTCATCCACCCTGCTTTGATTCTATGGCTAACATCTTCATCAATATCCCCGTCTCTCTGTAGCATTGATCCTAAATATCGAAAGGTATGCTTCCTGGGCACTACTTGACCTTCCAAACTAATATCTTCCTCCTCCCGAGTAGTAGTGCCGAAGTCATATCTCATATACTCAGTTTTAGTTCTACTGACTCTAAAACCTTTAGACTCCAAAGTCTCCCGCCATAACTCCAGTTTTTGATTCACTCCTGTCCGGCTTTCATCAATTAGCACTACATCGTCCGTGAAAAGCATACACCAAGGGATGTCCCCTTGTATGTCCCTTTGTGACCTCATCCATCACTAAGGCAAACAGATAAGGGCTCAAAACTGACCCTTGATGTAATCCTATCCTATTCTGTTTAGCAGAGTATCTTTTTAGAATATTCCCTTAGTTTATGTTGTAAAGAATTGACATTATAAGTGGAGGCTACTGATGCATACACATTTTTTAGCTTATAATAAAAGACCTAAGCATGGACAGTTTGGGAGGGAGTTCAGCAGAGCTAGCACATCACGTCCACAGCCTCAGACATTTATGTTTCAGAGTTCAACTGTTACATATGGTGGTCCAAATGGAGCCTGTTATACATCTTCAACGACTAGGAGGACTGGTGCAGATGGAGTAAGTATATCTCATGAGTGCTGTTTTCTTCATCTGTATATTTGTAGGGTCCAAAGTTATAGTGTTAATTATTTGTTAATGTGTTAGATTACACTGGAAGAAAGTAAGGAGGCTGACACAACTACTCGTAAAGCATCTCACAGGATTTCACGTGGCATTGGCAGTAAGGTATTATTGATATTTCTCACAGATCTCTTGCTTTCTCTCATCCAATCGCACTGATGTTGTGATTGGAGCTACTTACTATCTGTTGTTGGCACGTTGCAGGGTCACTCGCTAACAAGAAATCTTAATTCTGTTGGACATGTGAACACCCTTCAAACTTTACACAACTTGAATGAAGGTTTAGTGTTCTTTTTTTTTGGTGCCTTATTGTTTTCCTTCCAAACTGATTCTGACGCCATTTTCCCTTTTCCATTCAGATGAGCTTGCTGGGTTTGAGGAATCGTGGCAAAGAAATGCCAGGGAGAATATGCCTGGCTGGGATCCTAGGATGAACATGCTTGGCAACGGTATAGCCTATAGTGCCCCCTCCCCTCTCTCTCTCTCTCTCACATGCACTCAAAAATTTCTTTTTTGCCCAATTATATAGAAGAGAAGGATGGTATAGAGGCGGATTTCTTTTTGTGAAATCAATGGTTGGACCATAATGTTTCTTTCTTTGTACTAGCGATGGTATCTTGAGTTATTTACACAACTGGTTTGCAACAGTAATCCAATCCCCTAGAGCAATGCCAGCTACTGTAGATGGGGTATGAATATTGACTTATATAGTGGTTTAGATATCCTGTGATAATGGTAATTTTTCTGAAGTGTAATAATCACATACAAAGTTCTGTTGTAGATAAGATCTTTGGATTGTTGGCAAAAAAATAAATCTCAAGGGTATTAGTCAGAACCAGAACATTGGGGAATGGATCACTTTGTATGTATGGCTGCATGTACCCACCCCTAGGCATGCATTAAGTTTTTAACAAACAAATCTATAGCATTTATAGTATGACTACAGTTAATCACAAATAACAACAGTTAACCATGATAACAAGATCATGAGACAAATCCCATGCAGGCAGCAGCACAAATGTAGAAGGATGCTTTGTTTGACACTGCTGTCTCATTTGAGTGTATGCCTTCAATTGGCTTTCAAGATCTTGGCCGATACTGATGTTGGTCACACTTCTCTTGCGTGCCGCTTGCTAATAATTTTGTTGTGATCACCTGATTTACTTATTGAAGCTTGATTCCTAGAATTCTGAGATCTTACTCAGTTGCAAATTATGCAGGAAATGTTCACTCTAACTTCCGAGATGTGAATCAAATGCCTGCACTTCCAGCTCCTGATCGATCCCGTGGCACGAATTCCTCATGGAACTTTCAGAATGGCTCTTCCATGGGTCGTGCACCCCGCACATGAGTTCCTCTGCTCAGTACGGGTGACTTACACTATTTTGCAGAAAAATGTTGTAGCCCGAGCTCTCTTTGAGAAAACTAATGTAGCTTGTGATAGTTTTAATAGTCAAGAGTTTCACTCGAGACAACTGAAAGTCAGAAGCTTTCCTTTAGTTTGAGCAGTTCTATCCTAGTGCTCCAATCACTGTAGTTGAGTGCTGCCTGAGGTTTGGATGGAGAGATGATTATTTCTTGGGAATTTTACTGACTTTGGTGAAATCTGAAGAAAAGGAACCATCCCTGATCTTATCCATCAGGTTTTGGTGATGTAGCCTGTTAAACCTTCATGAATAACTCGAATGCCTTATATGTTGCTGTGAACCTCAGGGTTTGTATGTTTGTAGTTTTTCTTCCAAAAAATGCATTCTAGCTGCCAATAAGCTACGCAAAGTACATTGATTACGGTTACATTACATCTAGAGAGAAGCAGCTAAACAAATAAAGTCGCTCTATTTATATATAGTTGTGTCAAACGTGGCCGTCAGATTCAGGTGGCTTCTCCGCGTTCTTCTCCGACGACCGCCTGATTTCGCCGGCGGCAGCCCTGGTCTGCTGCTGCACCACCAACGTTGACACCTGGCATCCGAAGTCTGTGGACGTGAGCAGGTCCCCGAGGACGCCGAGCTCCAGGTGCTCGCTCCAGTCCGATATGCCGACCGTCAGCGGTGACTTGGGGCCGTCCGCTCGCCGGCCGACGATCAGCAGGTCCGACGCCGGGCTGGACTTCCGGATGATGCCCACCATCTCATCGGAGCCACAGACCAGGTTCTCGCTGTAGGCGACGCGGTGGTCGTCGACCCACCGGCTGACGTACTCCTGCAGCGCCTCCTCGTCGAGCCGGTCCTCCTCGGGGTCGCCGCCCTTGCGCCACTCCGGCGGCGGCAGGAAGCGGAACACTGTGAGGCCGATGGGCGCGTCCTCGGCCATGTACGTGGCGAGCGCGAGCGCCTCCCGGTCGTCAGGCCCGCCGAGGAAGTAGAGCGCGATGCGGTGAGGGAAGCCGTCGGTGGCGGCCCCGGCGGGCACGACGGAGAGGCTGCCCCGGTCAACGAGGATGGCGACGGAGCAGGGGGAGTAGTTGAGCACGTTGACGTTGGCGGCCTGGACGGATCCGGCGCTGGCCGTGGTGTTCTCGACAGAGCCGTCGATGGCGAGGCGCTGGTGGAAGGGCACGACGATGAGCATGGCGCGCTTTTCGAGCGCGACGGCGCAGACGTCATCGTGCATGGTGGCGTAGGGCGCGATGCAGACGTAGGGGAGCAGCGACGCGGACCCCACGGGGCGCTGCTGCACGAAGTACTGGAAGGCGTTGACGATGCGCTCCGAGTCGGTGCCGCCCGACGGCACGCAGTTGCGGTCGCCGTGCTTGAATGCGCGGAGCACGGAGCTGGTGAGCCCCACGAGCGGCGCGAGGTGGAGGAGGTAGACGGCGACGGGCGACACGGGCGACGCGCTGGCGGCGTCCAGCAGCGCGAGCATGGGCGCCACGTCCGCCTGCGAGTGCACGCACGCCAGCACCCGCAGCTCGTCGCCCAACTTCTTGTGCTGCACCGTGCGGCGGCGGTACGCCACGTACTTCTCCTCCGGGTGATACATGTGCTTGACCACCGACGCCGTGGCGGCGCCCAGCAGCACCACGTTGAGCATGAACGCGGTGTACACCTGCTCGTCGAAGACGTCCGAGTCCACGAACGCCGAGGCGTAGGCGACCTCGGTGATGCCCTTGAAGTTCATCATGAGGCCGAGGATGAAGGCCTCCCGGAGCGGCATCCCGCAGTAGAGGCAGGGCAGCATGCAGGACACCTGCTTGGCGGCGACGCCGACGACGAGGAAGAACTGGAGGAGGAGGCATATGGAGGCGTCGACGATCTTGAAGACGTCCAGCCTCAGGCCGCCCTGCGCGAAGAGCAGCGGCATGAGCACCCCGGCGACGAGGCGGTCGAGGCGCTCCCCGAGGGTGACCCCGAGCGGGGCGCCGCCGGGGAGCATGAGCCCCAGCATGAAGGGCCCGTAGGTGGCGTGCAGGCCTATGATCTCGCCGGCGAAGCTGCAGACGATGGTGGTGAGCAGCACGGCGACGAGGCGCGCCTCGCAGAGGAGGCCGCCCTCGGGGACGTCGCGCATGAGGCGCAGGATGGCCGGGCGCGCCACGAAGGCCAGGAAGCCGATGAAGATGGCGGAGGTGAGGAGCGACAGGAAGCCGATCCGCTGGACCTTCTCCGATGGGCTGGACGCGAGGAGGTAGGACGTGATGCCCGCGATGGAGAAGGTGTTGGCGAAGTCGCCGATGAGCGCGGCGGACATGGCGAGGCGGCCCAGCTTGGAGGACAGGAGGTTGAGGTCGCCCAGCGTGGTGCAGACGACGATGAAGGCCGAGAGCGACCACCACACGTTGAGGTTGGTGAGCATGAAGTTGGCCTTCCACGGCGCCGGCACGCGCGCCCCGACCGCGGCGGCGGCGGCGTACATGGCCAGGTGCGGCCCGACGGTGCCGAAGAAGGCGATGGCCACGGCCTTCTTCCCGGACTTGACGATCATGCCCAGGTCCGTCTTCACGCCGATGACGAAGATCTGCAGCACGAAGGCGTACGCGCCCACCGTGTTGAGCTGCACCCACCCCTCCGGCGTGGCGAAGAGCTCGCTGGCGTGCGGAAGCACCTGGCCGAGGAGCGACGGCCCGAGCAGCGCGCCGGCCTGTTGTGTGCACACGCTGCAATTAGCGCGCCGGCCGTGTACTACATCCAGTATTTGGCACGCATGCATCATGCAACGCAAGTACTCCTCTACGTACCACGATCTGGGAGATGACGAGGGGCACGTTGGCGCGGCTGAGCAGGGCGTGCACGCCGCGGGAGAGCGCGAAGACGGCGCAGACATGGTAGAGGAGGAGCGGGAAGTAGAACTTGAGCGGGTCGTCGCCGGCGAAGACGCCGGCGGAGGTGGCGACGGAGTTGGGCGGGAAGCAGAAGCGGCTCTTGTTGACGGTGACCTCCCCTTGCAGGTGCGGGGCGGGCGGTGCCTCACGCGACATGGGCGGCCGGGCCGGGGCTCGGGCTCGGGGAGGACGAATGCAGGGGAGGATGGGGCGCCGGGAACAATGGGGAAGAATTTTCCGTGGCGCGCCGCGAATGCATGCAATGCAGAGATGGTGCGCGCGCCAAGGACGACTAGCACGGCACCGGGACGACGCATGGCATGGTTAAGCGATAAACGTGGACCGCCGGCCACGCCTTGTATTGTAGGTACACCATTACTCCTAATTCAGTACAGTTGTAGTGCAAGTAGTGGCCTCTGCAAGGCATGTATTTAATTTTACTTTTTATGTATCTCTACTTGCCTATAAAAAATTATAAAGCATCTTTTATGAGTTGTCCTTTTAAAGTTTATTGTGTAATAATATTGTTGTCTGAAAATTCTTAAAATTTACGAAGAGAATCCATGGACACAGGCTTCCTCTCTGTTGTTACATTCCATTCCATCCCAGAAGCCCAAGCCAGAGTAGAGTGATGGAAGTCGCTGTCGGTTGGTTGTCACGACGCTTTTTGTGCTTGTTTGTTTGCCTGGTCCCGTTCGGCACGGCCGAGGTTAGCTCGAGCCCAGAAGACAATCTAGAGTTGTAGCTGTTTTTCTTAGAAGAAATGAAAAAGATCTCAGTCTCTACTATCTGAAGATAGTACACAGCATAGAAATTACAAATAGAGCATTCAAGCTCTGTTCTCACAAGAGAGCAGATAAACTAGATATGAAACAAAAGGCACGACACAACGAACAAAGACTACGCCTCAATTCTATTCCAAAATTTTCATCCAAATTTACAATACCGTGATTCGTAAAAACAATTATGGATATTTTTATATATTTATAAATTTAGTTACAACTCAACAGATTTAACTTACAACTAAAATAAAATGACTTATGATTTAGAGGAGATTTTACAGTACCTCCTACTTCAAAAGAGAAGAAGTAAAGGCGAATTCATTGGTCTGCGTTAATCCATGGGATTGAAACTAGTGAATGCTACAAATTATTTCAACCTCAAAGTTTAACTATGAAGAATAACTCTTAAGAGATGACCTGGTGTCATGCGTTATTTCAGGTAGGCATGTTGCACTGTACGTTACAGTGAGAGAGCATTTTAAGAATAAACAAGCATATAGTTTTATAAAAAAAAATCTCTTTATCTAGCAAAATTAAAATGAGGACTTTTTTTTTTGTTTTAGACGACACATTTAATGAGCCTTTATATGATCTTCCGTTAGTTATAAAGAGTACCTGTACAGTAGAACAAAGTTGATCATCGATGACACGGCAGTTGGGCCTAAAAGGCTACCTTAGCCAATTCATGTTGGACCAACCTCTTGTTTGTTTTTTAGAAAATTTAATGGGCCTCATTCCGGTCTCCGTTGGAAAAAGTCCTGCAGCGAGCCCAGCCCAGACAACAGACAGGCGGCTGGGCCTACAGGAGCTCAGATTCCGTTGCGTTTCACCACCTGTTTTCAAAAAGAAAACGCGGCCCAAATTTGCAAGACTATCACCTCAAAAATTAGAGATTTTTTTCACTCTCTCTCCATCCATCAATTTTGAGCGTTTGCATTTGAAGATTAAATGTTGACGAAAAAATAACTAATTACACAGTTTGGTTAGAAATCATGAGATGAATCTTTTGAGCTTAATTAATCAAAGATTGAACAATATTTACCAAATAAAACGAAAAGACTACTATCCATCGGGTTTGGTGACCGCAGAATCCTGGAACTGCGCGAGCGCGACTGTGGCTCAGACAACACAACTAGGGAAAACGTGGCCTCAAACTGAAACCGCCGTGGGATTCAATAGCAGGAGGCCAGGGAGGAGGGTCATCAGCGGCGGCGGCGGCAAGGTACGGACGGCCACGGGCCGACATGTCCGGTCCTCTGTTCCTGAATGTGCGCGTTCGTATTAAATGCCGGGACCTGACCCGCCTCCCTCTGCCGGCCTCCAGACGATCGAGTACACTGCCGCTGCCCTCCATCACTCGGGTCTCGGCGATGGAGGAGGAGCCTCTGCTCTGCTTGCTCAGATGACCTGCAGTGCATGGAATTCCATCCATTCCTCCAAGCAAATGAGGAGGCGGACGGATAACCTGCTGCATGGAATTCCAACGGCAGTCATCATTATTCAAATTTGGCAGCACTCAACCACCACGTCAAATTTTCTACACATGCAGGAAGTATTAAATTTAGATAAAAAAAAACTAAAATTATACATTTTGATTGTAAATTACATCGATCAATCTTTCTGAGCCTGGTTAGATGGCGATCTTAATAATTGTCAAATACAAAAAAAAAACTAATGACACAAATGGCGAGAAACCATCATCTAATCAAGGCCTAAATACTCCTCCAAGGAAATGAGAGAGGCTGACGGACCACCTGCTTGGCGCCAACGGCAGTCATCATCAGTCATGGCAGCACCAACCACCACGTCGCCACCGCCCTAAATGCTCTGCACGCGCCAAGCGTGCCCAGGCTCCAGCTCCATTGCATGCATCTCATGGCATTCATCAGCAACGCAGCACCGGTACGGCGACAAGGGCGGACTGTCTCTCAAAGCCTGGGACCTGCATGCACTTTCTTTCAGCCATCTCAGCTTTGCTTAGCTGCTTCATTCTTCAATGACTGACTGAGGGTCAACACGACACTCCGGGTCTCCGGATCTGCTCTGTTTGGATTTTTTTTTAATTAAAAACCAAGGCAAGAGATTTGTCAGTGACTTCTTTGGCGAGCCGGCCGGAACTTATCGTTACAAGCATTGCGTAGCATGCGGGGTTTCTGGAATTCAGCAAAACAAGATTTCACCCAACTCATTCATACTGAATGAGTTTCTTCTAACAAGTAACTCGGACTGTGGGGATAGCATGCGCCCCTCCCCGAGCATTCGCATTAAAGTAAAGGACTTATCACCCAATCCGAAAAAATCTCCGATCCTCGTACCCCGCCCGCACACACGGGCTAGTTACCCTATGAGCAGGCCGATGTCACAAACCTGTGCTTTGGGTAACGCGGGGCAGACGAGTTTTTTTTTTGACCTCCGGCATTGCAATTCGCCTCGTGGGAGATCAAACCAGGCCGCAAGGGTGCCACCCGGAGTGCTTGACCAGCCAATCTAGCATCAAAACTGATGAATGGTATCGTATGAAACTTGTCATTATTTTTTTAATGATATTTCTTCAAACAGATCCTCGATCCAAAGGGCACATTGCCGGATCACATACAGCATCACATCAGTGCCATGAGGCAGTAGTTAACTACAGTACTAGCACAAGGTGCAAACCACGTATATTTTGTGCAACCAACTGCTACCAGCTACTTCGACCGGCAAAACAAGAACTCGCCACAACGGATGATGCATCACAATCACGCCAGCTTACTACTACACTACAACCGAGCTCCTAAGGAAGGAGCTGGGGGCTCAGGCGCTCAGCTCAAACAAGAAACAATGGCAGCTACCGAGCTAGTAGCCGATCACTAGCCGTTAACCAACAGCAACAAGCAGTCACCACGCCGGCAGCCAGCGAGAGCGCCGATCCACCGCGCGCGGCCGCAGGCCGACGATCACTGGCTGGTGCAGCCGAGCTGCTGCAGCACGGCGGCCATGGCGGGGCGCTGCGCGGGCGCCTCGGCAGTGCACAGCAGGGCGACGCCTGCGAGCTTGGCGGCCTCGGGCCGCGAGAACCGCCCGCACAGGCGCGGGTCCACGAGGTCGTCCAGCCGCCCCCCGCTGCCGGAGGCGGACGACGATTCCGCCGCCACCGCCGCGCCGCCGCAGCCCTGCCGGAGGTGCGGCGACACGGCGCGCCGCCCGGACAGCACCTGCAGCACCACCACGCCGAACGCGTACACGTCGCTCTTGTCCGTGAACCGCCCCGTCGTCGTGTACTCCGGGGCCAGGTACCCCATCGCCGCGCTGTCCTTGAGCGTCGAGAACACCACGTCGTCGGCCAGCAGCTTGTGCAGGCCGGCCCCCGAGAGGCGTGGCGTGTAGAGGTGGTCGATCAGGACCTTGTCTGCCGAGATGCTCTGGTGCACGAGCGACGGCTTGTTTGCCTTGCTGCTGTGGAGGTACTCGATGCCTGAAAAAAAAATTCAAGATTCACACAGCAAATTAGTACAGAACAACGTATACGCCAAGGCAAAACTGAAACTCCCATAAACATGTGAAACTTCACTGATGTGAAATACCAAAAGTACAGTCTGTCAACTGAAAAATGAAATGGAAGTTCTGAATCATACATACCCTTGGCAATGCCTTTGATGATGGAGACCCTTGTAGGCCAGTCGAGGACAGCGGCATCCGCATCGCCTTCCTTGGCGTCAAGATACCGGGAAAGGCTCCCGTTGGCCATGAACTCATAGACGACGAAGCATTCCCCCCTTGCCCGGGACCGGCAGAAGCCCCTCAGGCCGACAAGGTTCTCATGCCGCAGCAATGTCAGCATTCGGAGGCCTTTCAGGAAGTCGGCCTCCTCCGACTTGCAGCTGCTCTTGTTGATGCTCTTGACTGCAACAGCCGATCCATCGCGCATGATCCCCTTGTACGTCGCGGCGAAATTGCTCTTGCCGAGCAAGTTCACATCTGAGAAGTACTGCGTGGCGCATTCCACCTCTTCGAGGTTGAACCTCACGCTTGGGGAGCCCTCTGACGACAACCTCACTCCATGCTGTGACCCCTCGGATGAAGTGTCCCAGCCACTGGAGTACTCAACATTGATCAGTGAGGACGCACTTCTCTGATACGTTTCCTTTGACTGGTCCAGGCTAGGCCGGCCTTCCAAATGCTCAACAGAACTGCCAACCTTCTGCTTCTGGCGACGGTGCCATGAGAATACAGACAGGCCACAGGCTGCTGCTCCAGCTACAATGATGACTGTTCCAGCAATAACAGCCCCTGTAGAAAGTGTCGAAGGTTTTGAGCAACCTCCATTGTCGCAATTCCTGTTGAGGTCGATTGTCTTTTGAATCTGTTGGGGCTTGACAGAGGTTGATTCAGGTTTAGGCGGCATTCTGCCATCGTCATTGCCATCGTTAGGACAAGCTTTCAGAGAACCAAATTGAGCTCCACAGAGCTCTGAATTGTTATCATACAGAAACCCGTCATTCAACTTCTTCAGACCTACATCATCAGACAACGGTTTTTCAGATAACAAAGAAAGTGAGCAGTGGCATCAAGAAAGAAAACCGTAGCTGATGAATCCTAATAATTACCAGAGGGAACACTTCCTGAAAGTGTGTTGTTGTGGAGGTCTAGCGTTGCAAGATGAGGGATCTCAACAAGTTTGGCTGGGATTGATCCGAAGAGTTGATTGGAGCTCAAGTCCAGCCGAGTCAGTGCTGGCAAGTCCCCGAGGGAAGCCGGAATTGCGCCAGTGAGCTGGTTGGACTGAAGGGCAAGAACAGTGAGCTTATTTAGTTGACCCAGCTGAGTTGGAATGCTCCCTGAGAGCTGGTTGTAGCCGAGCTGCAGTACTGAACAAGGGGGAAAAAAATTTAAGCTATCTGCCATTAGAGAAGGACAAGGACAATTATGGCCACAAACTAACATTCGGTAGGTTGATCTACTGAATTTTGGGCAGGCTTGTTTAATCCTAAAGTAGACAGACAGGTAATGGCAATTATGGCTGAGAGCAACAGGAGGAAAGCTGTAGGAACAGATATGTTACAGGAATGAAACCAATCTAATTCCTTGAGCAGAATCCATAACTTCTCTTGTGTCAGTAACTAACTTCACTCAGCACAAAAGGCAAATTGCTGTACATTCGAATCCACAACGGCCAAATTGCTGCAAAATTCTGTCATTATAGAGAAATAACTATTGCAGCCAAATTAACTTTCGGCAGGTTTATGTAACTAATTTTGGTTGTATACTGAGAAGTAATGTCCATCCATCATGAACTGTAGAATGACAGGAGGATCTGTCGGAACATTGTAATTGCAGAAGGCTGATGAAACAAATCCAGGCATTAACGGAATTCGTTGAGCAGAATCCAAGCTTCTTTTGTGTCAGTAACCAACTTTAGGTCTCAGTAGAGAAGGCAAAGAATAAAGGTGAATGTCATGATACATAGTACACCAAAGTAGCTGTACAATCAAAGCCACAAAGGCCAATTGTACAGACAGAGAAAAAAAGCAGCCATTGTGTCCTTCCATTCATGTGTTGTTGTACCTTGTTGTTCTAGCCTCTAGGTAGGCAAAGGCAATCATCAGGGGTGCACCACTCACGACAAAGGAAGCACAATGCTTTGAAAGAATAAGAAAGGACTTGAGGACATGTCCTGGGTGGGTATGTGAAAGAACAAAAGGATGGAGCATTTTGAGTAGCACTAGAAATTAAACTTCATTTCTGTCAATTCAGCGTTTCTTCGGAGGCTATAATATGACAAAACCAATTTCGGATTTATTCAAATTTCTTTTTCCTAAAAAAACAGAAGTATTTTGTTTGTTTACTTGTATTCAAATAATCCCTATCCAACGACAAGAAGCACCCGAGCTGAAATGCTAAGAACAAACGAACAGGAATGCACTAATGGTGAAATGGAAGCCCCGAATTTCTCACCATTTGAAATGAAACTACTTCTTCAAAGTTCAGATTCTAATGTGAATCCCCCAATCAATCAAACAAACAAAGACGAAAAAAAAAGTTCAAAAAGTCCATCACCTTGGAGGCTACCGAGTCGGCCGAGCTCGACGGGAATGGCGCCAGAAAGATTGTTGACGCCGAGGTAGAGCTCAGCGAGGTCAGGAAGTCCGCCGAGCTCGCGCGGTATCTCCCCGCCGAGGTCGTTGTAGTGCAGGTAGAGGCCGGTGAGAGCCGGGAGCATGGCGACGGCGGGCGGGACGGTGCCGGCGAGCCCCTTCCCCTGGAGCGAGATGGTGGCGACCCAGCCGCGGGCGTCGCAGGCGACGCCCTCGAAGTAGTCCCCGCGGCCGCAGGGGTCGCCGCCGCGCGCCCACGAGGCCAGCGCCCGCCCGGACGGGTCCAGCGCCGCCTTGAGCTCCATCAGCGCGTCCAGCTCAGCATTGCGCGAGGGCGTGGAGGACGCCGCAGCGGCGGTGCAGAGGAGCAGGAGCGGGAGGAGGGAGCTCCTGGACGGCATGGCGGAGCGACACTGGTGAGTGACTTGTGTGGGGCGTGAGAATTCGGAGGTTTATAGGGGTGTTTGTGGTAAAAAGTGGGGGAGTCAAAAGCTGGAGGCTTGGAAAGGCGTTTGCATGGATAGTAAGGCCTGTTTAGTTTTCAAAAATTTTCAATCTAAAATATCATATGGAATCTTATAATATATGTATAGAGCATTAAATATAGATAAAAAAAATTAATTGCACAGTCTAGTTAGAAATCGCAAATCTTTTAAGGCTAATTAGCCCATGAAAAGCCTTAAGTGCTACAGTAACCAACACGTGCTAATGACTGATTAATTAGCATCATTAGATTCGTCTCGCAGTTTCCTGATGAGTTCTGTAATTTGTTTTTTTTATTAGTATCAAAAACTCCTCTCGATATCTTTCCGATACATTCGATGTGACACCTAAAAATTTTCACCACACCAACTAATCACCCCCTAAAAAGTTAAAAAGGGAGGGGGTTTATTGGGACTGTAACTGGCAGCGCGGTCAGGATGATAATACTGTGGTAGGAGTACACGAGTGTACGTATCGGCATGTGTGTGTCTGCGGTATCCTTTGTGTGTTTTGTTCACGAAATGAAAATATTTGACGTCATATTAGATGTTTTAAGGATGTTGAAAGGGGTTTTTAAATACTAATAAAAAAACTAATTACATAGTTCGTCTGAAAACTACGAGATAAATTTATTAAGCCTAATTAATCCATTATTAACGTATGTTGGTTACTGTAGCACTTATGACTAATCATGGTCTAATTAGGCTTAAAATATTTGTCTCGCGATTTCCAACCAAACTGTACAATTAGTTTTTTTTTCGTCTATATTTAATACTCCATGCATATGCCGCAAAATTCGATGTGATATTTTGGGGTGAAATTTTTTGAAACTAAACAGGGCCTTACAATACAAGAATACGTACGTACAAAATAGGTTGCTGATTTGTACTAGCTGCCGGTGTAAAGGACGGATGAGACACTGTATCTGCTTAAGAGCATGTTCGCTTGAATTTATCAGCTATGGTACAAAATCAGTATAAACGGCTTATAGGCCAACCGAACAAAGCGAAAGTACACTGCTTAGGAGGAGTAGATTATTGCGGTCCATGTAGACCAGTTAGTGGAATCTTGTAGCCAATCAACCTGTTCGCTTGTTGGTTTCAGCCAAGACTTATCAGCCATGATACAATGTTTTTCTCTCACAACAAACTAACATCAACCGATCTTATCAGCTCAGAAACTAAATAGCGAACATGCTCAATGTATAAATAAGCATAGAATCCCTAGTACTCTTCTTCTTGCTCCATCGTATGTATATGGAACGTTCAAGGTTTATCCTATAATTTAAATATTTCAAACTTTAACCAATGTTTATGTAAAAATATATTGTATGGTTATTTACAGTACCCAAATAAGCCTGTTGTAAGACTCTTTTGTTTGGAATAAAAGCCCAGTACGAGATCCCCCACCAAATTAAATGTAAATTTAGTGCTATTTGGCATTGTAGGTGTTGGTATTTTCGTTTTATAAACTTCGTTGTTTTAGGGAAGCTTTACTTGGACGAAACTAAAATAAGATGTGTGTTTGGAACAAATGGAGTATTTGTAGAATCTTTTCTAACTCTGACTAGGTTTACGAAATGTATATTAGTAATAACTATAATAGTAAATTAATGCACCATTAAGATTTGTTTTTTATTGATACAAATGGATTCCTCCTATGTGCTTTTTTCTATATAATTAATCTTGGTCAAAGCTAAAAAATAACTTGGATAAAACTAAAATGACTTGCACTTTGAGATGTACCGAGTGGGTGAAGGATCAGGACCGTTGCGGATTCGAAATTTGAATTAATTAAGCAAGGAGCTTGGGGACTGGGTGGAGGAGCGTCAGCCGCGGCGTGAGCGCATTAAATTAAGCGGGGGCCGCATCCCATTTCCATCCCATGGAGCGCCCCCACCCATCATCGCCCATCGGGACCGACCGACTCTCACTTCCCAGTGCTCCTCCGTCCGTCCGAGTTCTGACAGGGAATGGGAAGGAATGGGGATGCGCCCAGTGGGCCATCGGATCGATCCACGCAGAGTAGTAAAGGCGGCACGTGGCCACGGCCCGCTGCACCGGTGTGGTCTGATTTCAGGCTACTACTGGGCCACACAGCCCGCTTTGGCCCGGGCAGCCTGGAAAGGAGGGAGGGTCTCTCACTCACTTTTGCGGTTTTAATAGTAAACACAGGCTCCGGTTAAGTACTTAAGTGAGAGCTCGTTATCACCGCAAAAATAAGGCCCCCAAATCTGATTTGGGTGCTTCCCCTACTTTTGTTGGCTCACTTTTCTGCTTCTACTCCAGCAAGAGCACCTAAATTAGGGCCCCCCAAATCTATTCCGGCAGAGAATGACAGACGGGACCCACTCGTCATTGTCTCTTTCTTCTTCCTCTGTACAGGGAGCGGTGGATTTGGCCACGCTCCTCCCCACCGCCCACTCGGTCGCAACGAGGCTAGCTCCGCCTCCGCTGCCTGCGCCCCGGCCATGGGAGGAGAGACGAAGCCCGCCGCCCCTGTCCTCCGCGGATCTTGCTTGCCACGCCATGGCTGCTCGGGGAAGGAGAGAGGGAGCCGTGCCTTGGCTTCTCGCTCCTGCACGGAGAGGAGAGGTGGAGGCGCTCATCGGAGGGGAGGGGGAGGAGAGAGGGAGCCGCACCGGATCTCACTGCTCGCTGTCGCGTAGGAGCAAGGGCAGCGGCGCCGCTGCCGACATCTTGCCATGCTCGTGGTCCCGCGGTGGAGGGAAGGTGGAGGCGCTCGCCGGAGGGGAGGGGGCGTTGTGGGGGGTATAACTCCAGGTACCCATGACAATGTACATGGGCCGCACCGTCAGGGGTGGTCCACCCTTGAGATTAAGGAGCGCGACGCACAACATTGGTCGGCGTGCACCACAAGGCTTCGGGAAGCTATCTTGAGGATGAAGAAAGATCCGATCGGATATGCAAGAGATTGTATTCCATACGATGCTTATTATGTAACCGACTAGATTTAGATTTAACCGACCTGTAACCCTAGGACCCCCTCAAAATCATCTCATCTCATTACCTCATTATTATTCCATCGCATACACAATCAATACAAACCAGCAGAACACAGGACGTAGGGTTTTACGTCGTATTGACGGCCTGAACCTGTCTAAATCTTGTGTCTCTATTGTCATCTAGTTCCTGATCATGCACACCTCTACCATACAATCTACCATCGTGGGTATACCTCTTGGTGGACTATCGACGATATCCCGTCGACAGGCGCGCTCGCCGGAGTGGAGGTGCTCGCCGAATCTGCGACTCCGGGCGCTCGCCGGATCCGTGACTCCGGGTGGCCGGAGCGGAGGGAGGAGCCGCCGCGCTCGCCGGAGGGGAGGGGGCGAGGCCCCGCGGTGGAGGGAGGCCACCGGTGGAGGTCGGGGGTGGAGGGAGGGAGCACGCCGGAGGGAGGCGGGCGAGGCCGCGTCCGTACGGGCGCGAGGAGCAAACGGCCGCAACGCGCAGGATGGGGGTCGGGGTGTTGTGCCAACATGAATGGGGTCTGGAGGGAGGATTTGGGTGCCCCGCCAAATATGTGGTATGTAGTAGGGGCCCTGCTGGAGTGATATTTTTAGCCTGGACACCCATATTTAGCTATGGGGGCTCAAGTAGGAGCCCTGCTGGAGATGCTCAGATGAAATCTGGCCCGAGTTTGGTTTGACGCCTAGTTGCTTTTGAGGAAAAACCTGATCAGATCGGGTTCTGGAGCTGGATAGGTCAGGTTTGCCTAGCAAAGTCCCAATGGTTATTTCTTGCTCCTCCTTTGAGCGTTCGTTGTTGTCACCCTCCACTTATCACACACGACCAGATCGAAGCCCTTGGCTACTCCCAAACCTTCGTCTTGTGCATGGAAGTGATTAGAGAGGACAAATTCTAAATGTGGAGTGTCCCTTGCTTTGTGAGAGGCATAGGTAGCATTAGAGAGCTTGAGAGACATTTGTGTGAGTTGCCAAAAACTTTGAGCACTTGAGCAAGCCAAAAAATTCAGTTCATTGGTTTATTACTTTTGGGGCTTTTCTCCTAGATGACTATGTGTCGCCGGCAAGCACCCAAGGTTGTGGGCTACTAAAAAGTTTTGTGAGGGCTGTGATCTTGTCTCCAGAAGGGAAAAGATCACCTAGTACAAGTGTGGAAAGCAGTTGGACCTCAACCACGGAGGGAGCTCAAGACTTCCACAATAGAGACGTAGGATCCAAAGGGGATCTGAACTCCAGGAAGAAGCAAATCTATGTGTCTCACTTTGGCCGACCTCACAGTTGTATTTGTATTGCATATTGATTGTGCTTCCGCTTCTGTCTACTTGGGTGTGTATGTTTGTGATTGCATGTCAAAGGAGATGTGTACGTCTATAAAGGAGATGTGTCCAGAGACATTCCAGAGGAATTAAATTAATTTGAATCACCAAATATATCCGGTGGTACAGCCGAAGGAGCACCAACAATAACTAGACATTGGAATATAGCCGTTGGAGAGCCACCGGCATTCTCCCGTACTCATATAGTCATAATGCTGAGTGGAGTTGTAACGACTAAGTTTTGAGATTGGCTCTATATATATCCTCCATCTCGTGCATAAAAGATGTCTTGGCATTATAAAGTTATAGCTACAATAAAGGGCATCCAAGAGAGTGTTTTAGCCTAGTGGAGTGGTTTAGATTTACTAATCGAAGATTAAAAACTCCGTTAGTGCTTAGAGAGTAGCAAGTGCTTATCCACTATTCTCATTAAGCTTGGTTGCATCTTGCATCTCCGAGATCTATGTTCATCTAGCAACTAGCATCTTGCTTGCATCTCATGATGTAACTAATAATGATGAAATGAAAGATAAATCTCCCCGACCGTGCAGATATGTAGCTGCAGTGCAGCAAAGCGCTACTAAAAGAGTCAAGCCAGTAACGAGTCACGAAA